TTCCATCGCACACTCTCTATAATATGTCCTGTAAAATACTGATAAGCAGGCTTCACGGCGGTGTTCAAAGCTCTGCAGCTTCTATATAGCTCTCCGTTTGGTAGACCATCTGCCTCATTACCTGTTTATTCTTCTTTTTTTATGATACCAAGTGAAGAGACAAACAAGTCGTGCGCCTGGTGGTAAGCGACACGCCTGTCCATAACAGTTGCATTGCCACTCAGAGCTTTAAATCACAAAGATCTAAAAGATCTAGAAGAGGACCGCCACTGCGCATGTAACCCTGAGACATACATTGACAAGTTCCTTGTTCCTGTAATTTTACCAGAAATAAGTGTTCCATAAAATGAGTGCCTATTTATTTTCTGTTGCTAAAGTGCTAGTTCCCCAAAATTCCTGCTTTCTCGTAGCCTAATATAATTGAAGCAGAAACCAAAATCCTCAAAAAAAACAATCAACAAGGCTATCCATACACGTAGCGATAATCGGGTGATGTGTGGCGGTGCATTCATAATCGTAATAATCCAACATGTTGTGGCCACCCTGACACAGGCACGGATTAAGGCCGTATTATTTTACGCTTTGTTTGTTTTTGTCAATTTTTATAAGCTGGTTGTTTTTTTTTAATATACGTTCTTGTTGAAGCCTCCAGTGATCAGAAGGTTAATACGATTGGACAAAATATTTTTATTTTAAACAAAATATGCCCAAATTCGTCTCTGCCCCCCAATGTTTGCTTACAACCAATTTCCCTAATGCACAGGGTTCCGGATGCATCTCACATTATTTTTATTATTTTTTCTGCACCGCCACCGCGTTGCACCCACTGTGCGGTGCAATTTAACGGCAAAGCAAACTATGAAATATGCATGAGGATGGTTTTAATCCGTGTATTGGATATGGGATGGTATTATGCAAGATATATACGAGATTCCATTGATAAACTAATAGTACTTCTGTTTGTGATTAATTTTAGCATTAAAAGTAGAGCTACAGCAGCATCAACACAAATACATATTAACAAATATTTCATATGGTACAGCAAAGAGCACGTCAAGATTGACTCTTTGTACTTTGAACCATACTTATCGCAAGTGGCATAGAGTTTAATTCAAATATTAAGTAACAAACTTAAAATTGTAATTGGTACAGGGTATAGTTTGACATTTGAGATTTAAATTCAATTCTATGACCCTTGCAATTAGAATTGTCCAAAGTGTCCAGCTTGATGGCTCAATCAACTAAAGTACTACATAGATTTACAAATAAGCAAAATCGTTACTAAGTAAGATGACCGCCTATGAAGTTCCCCAATTTTGTCTAACGCGATAAATATACCTAATAGGTAGATAGATAGATAGATAGATAGATAGAATACGTTTATTGACTTACCACAAGTACACACAATAATATGAAACAACAAATAGCTAAAGAAAGAAAGAAGACAAAAAAAACTCAAAACAAACATACAAAATAACAAAAAAAGGTATGAAATCAAATAAATTTACACAATAAACGACATATATCTACAATTAATTAAAAAGCAAGTTGTGAGTGCTGCAGCAAGCCAAACAGGCCATAGCTCAGTGCAGGTGTTGCCCAAAAGCAACGCACTGATTTTCAGCTATTGCCTAGTGGGTAACGCGAAGCGGTGCATCACAGCAAAAAGCAATGTGTAAGTAATGTGTAGGACGTGCAGTGAGTCTTAGTGTAGTTGTGTGTCAGTGTTAACGTGTCGATGGGTACCGCCAGCTATATGGACCCGTGTTTAGTAGTGAGATATATAAGAAACTAATATATATATAATACTAATATATAGATACAAAACATAATAATGCTACAATAAACAAAAAAATATATATATTTCTTAGCTAAATGATGGATGAAAACGACCAAACCAACTAAAATTTTGACTAAAGCGATTTAACCACAAAAGTTCAGTTGTCGTCGGCTGACGCTTGTGATTTATTAGTATCGGCTTCGATTCTTGTTTGTCATAGGATTTATGAGTTATTATCCATTATTAGCAATATTAACTTATTACTAATATTGTAGGGGTGGATGGGTTTGTTTATTTTTTGAATTTGCAACAATTACTGTTTACTTTATATCCGATGGAAAGAATGTTTTTGTAGAAGCAGAGCAAGGAAATACTGCCACCTCACCTATTTCTACCGCCAAGCAGTATGAGCATTATTTTATTTCGGTTTTGAAGGGTCAAGGGTGCTGGTGAAATTACAAGCACATGGGACTTGTTAACTTAAGTCTCAGGGTATCGGGCACAGTGTATTCCTCAGATCTTAGCGACTTAAAGCTCTGAGTGGCACTGCAACTGATATGGACAAGCGTGACGCTTAACACCAAACTCACGGCTTGGCGACTACAAGGCGGAAATACACCCACGCATTCCGCGTTTACGTTCTGCGTCCTTTAATATATTTAAACAAGGCTTAACTTATTTGACTATTGACTTTTAGTTGGCGAATAATTTATACAATTTATTTTTTACATCGTCACTATATTATTTATATTATTTATACATAACTTGCTACGTCAATATTTCTTTAATACTAGGTGGAATCTCCCTACCCAAGCGCAGCAATCTTTCTTTTTTTTTTCTTAGTTTTATTTATTCTCAGTTTGTGCGCGCTAAATTTTACTTTGACCTCATTAATTATCCCAGATCATAAACACGTCAAAATTCAAATTTTGATCAACGTCACAGCCTATAAAATTATATTTTTTATGCTTGTTTAAAATTTCATGCATATCGGTTGAGGACAACCGAGTAATTCCCTTCGCAAATTGTGCAATTTTAGTGGATGCGAAGAAAGCTTCGCTCGCTGCGCTTCGGAAATTGGAATCGCTTTAGAACTGCAGTAAAATATGAACACTGTTTTATTATTTACTAACTTTTAAAAGCCATATTTTGTTAACCAAATTCAAAACAGGAGGAGGTACTCAATTCGATTGTATTTTTTTTGTGCATCTTACGCAGATTTGTGAACCGATTTCGACAATTATTTTTGTGTTGGAAAGGGGATACTTTAGCAGTAATACCTACTATTTAAATTTGATGAAAATATTCTACATCCAGGGGTGGTAAATTAGGGGATTCAATTGACAAGCGTGGCATGAGGCGTATAGGTGACCCGAAATTAGTAGAGGCGGAGCTGCAGAGCTTTGAACACCGCCGTAAAGTTGCCGGCTTATCGGTATTCTACAGGATATATCACGGAGAGTGTGCGATGGAATTACACGATTTAATTCCGCCTTCCCCTTTCCATCATCGAGGGACTGGGCGGAGGCTATTCCACAGACTTGTTCCCTGAACGTTATAACTTGGACCTTTTCAAGGTGAGAGTGAATAGGCATTATTTTTGGTGTGCATGCTCCATCGTCGACCTCATCGTCACTTTCCATCAGGTGAGATGGAGGTCAAAATATGCACACATTTGCAATTTCACTATATTCTACCAAACTTATTTTGTGAATTCTTATTCTGCAGTATTTCTAGAACTTGGACATTTCTTATTTTATATCTAATACGTTGTGGCTGCATGCGTCTGTGTCTTTTAGAACATTTTAGTTCGAGTTGTATTATCAAAAGAAGAATAGCTGGTAATCTATTTAAACAAAATTTGCAAAATTCGTAACCTAACCTCAACCTTAGGCTTCGAGCTTCTACACACTCTCGTTAGTAATTTCTTATCTACCGCCCTGTGAATTAACACAGCGAACTATTGAAAATTTCTTCACACGCACAGTGCTATTACTTATATGTGTAATACGCAAGAAAATTACTAACAATAGTGTAGTACCCATTGTACTTTTAAAGCCTTTATTTAATTTACGTCAGGACGAGAAAGGTTTTAGAAAACATCAAGGTAAGAATATAATTAAGTCGGGAGGGTCAGTGAACACAATGGGCGGTAGTCGATGGAGTACAAGTTACATGCAAACACTTTTAGGTTAACATTTGTGTCATGCTTAAAGTACGATTCAGTGCATAGATACAGCACAACGATTACGTTGATAATTTATTAACTAGGTGGAATGTTGACACCCTGCCGAAGCGCAACAATCGGACGATGCCTCGTAGAAATGCGAAACACGTGTCGGACATATTTTTTTACCTATAACAGTGACACTCAGAGCTATAAACCACAAAGTTCGTTACTTCCATAGTATAATGTCCTACGGAATTCTCATATGGGGTAAAGCGGCAGATATACAAACCATATTTGTGTTGCAAAAACGAGCGATTCGTTCTGTATACCGTCTAGGCTCTCGGGCTTCTCTCAGAAAAAAATTAAGGAGACTGCTATCATGACTGTGGCATCACAGTACATTTACTGTAATAATTTGTATGCGCGTAAAAATATGCATAATTTCATTAAGAAGGAATATATATCCATAATATTAAGTCCAAACTCATGGTACCACGATTTCGTTTAACTAAGGTAAACGATTGATCTAGCGGAAAGAATAAAAAATAATAAGTACCAAGACCTCGGCTCCGACTATTTACAACCTTTGGAGTTGAAACCCTTGCCCCGTGGCGTCCCGGTGTCCTTCATCTGTACAAAATTGTATCCAAAAAATTAATAGACTGTCTGGGAAACCAAGGGCTGAACGCATTAGCAAAGCCATACAATGGGGGAACGCTGTCAGCATCTTAGGCACCTTGCCGTGAAACCCAATTTTATTCATATAATTAATCCGTTTTACTTTTTAGTATTTAAGGTTTTATTGTACAGTGGATTGAGGAACATACAAATACAACATAGTATTTAAAACGAATCTAGATACTTATCTTAAAAAAAGCGACTGGAGAAAACATGTCACTTGTCGGCAAACATATCGGCCTGTCTATTAGGCGCTTTCCAAACGATTTTAAAGATGGTAAACAAACCAAGACAATTCAGTTTTAATTTCAATTTATTACATCAATAATTTTGATAAAGTACAAAAATCTAAGCACGTATAAAAACTATGAAAAAATTGTAAATTTATTATTTAAATATCAACATGTCGGCTTTATTGCACGGAAACTTTCTTCTAGTGAAATTTTTACCCCATTGGATGAATTTGGTAGCATGAGCGCCACCCAACAATTCATTTACTACAATCATGATTACTTCATCGTCCGTACTGCCTTGCAAGTACGAACGAACCTGGAACATAATTTGAAATTTACATATATACCTTAAGTAGATATTTTTATCTCCGGTAATAAAATATAAATAACTAAATATATATTAGGATAAATTACATTCGTTGGTTACTCACTATGGGCCTCATAAAAAAGCTCAGTCACCCAACCAGCTACGGAGAGAGCAATGCTCGGCATTTCTTTCCGTGATCGAATCAGAAATGAGGAGATCCGTAGAAGAACGAAAGTCACCGACATAGCTCGAAGAATTAGCAAGTTGAAGTGCAGTGGGCAGGGCACATAGCTCGCAGAACTGACGGCCGTTGGGGCAGAAAGGTTCTCGAATGGAGACCATGAACCGAAAGGCGTCCAGTGGGACGGCCCCCTACTAGATGGAGACGAATGACCGTGCAACGGCGGCGGATAACCGATGGATACACATCGCGTCCGATTGGCTAGTCTGGAAATCTTTAGGGAGGCCTATGTTCAGCAGTGGACGTCTTCCGGTTGATATGACAATAATAACGACGTATTTTGCTCTGTGGGACCAGAGTAAGTAATTACAGCACTTGTGTTATGGAAATCGGAAACAACGACGGTACCACAAACATCCAGACCCGAGACAATATAGAAAAGTTGGTTTTTCTACAACCCAACGTGCCTACTCACTGTTGCCTTATAAATGTTCTTTTTTTTAATACCTAGTAACGGGACGAATAAGTCGTACGCCTGGTGTTAAGCGACACGTCTTTCCATTGCAGTTACAGTGCACTCAGAACTTTAAATCGGTTTGAGGAACACTGCCACTGCACCTATCACCCTGAATCATAACTTGGGTCACATAAGCCTGTAATTTTACCCTTATCCTTCAAAACCGAAAAGCTAAACTGCTTGGAGGCAGAAATAAGGTAAGGTGGCAGTGCGTTCTTGGACGAATTCTTTCACAAGAAGCTCACTGGAACTAAATTAGTCTTGTTTCTTTTAACCTGGCCTTTTTTAAATACGTTCTCATTAGGCTCAAACTCACATAAACATCGAACTCCCCGAATTGGTCGCTGGTGAACAAATCGACAGTCTGATCATAGAAGTCCTGGTGTGCCTTGTACCCTCGGCAGAACTTGGTCTGTGTATCTGACATCTTCATTACCTTATTGTAGCAATTGTTTTCTGTCACGTTGCCATAACAGCTCAATGCTACTATATTGATGGGCTGTAAAATAAAAGAAGCATCTAAGTATTGTAGCAGTCAGACCCAATTAGAAGATGTAGAGGATCTCGACGAGCTCGTAAAATTAGAGACGATTTCAGTTGTTTGTAATACATTGGCAATATGTTACTGGTTTACAGGAGTAGTAGTTGGTTGCTTATAGAAGTACAATTAAAAAGTGAACGTCCTTTTTGACCTCTGTTAGTGCGTACAAAAAGTTCGTTAAATTGTGGTAGGGAATAACATGTAAGTGGTGTTAGTTGATTGGTTCAACATAGAATAGGCCTACGTAATGTGCCCTTGATGAACGTTTAGATACTGCTTCAAAAGTTATATTAAAATGCGTTCGCAACAATATTTAATATTGGACAGGTATATTAAACAGCCTCCGTGATCGAACGATTACCATGCTGGTCTGTCATGCAGAAGTCCCGGGTTCGGTTCTCTGGACGAGATAAATATTTGTATCATTTGTGGTTGTCTATGTGTGTGTCCGTGGAACCCGCGACATAGGGTTATCAGTGTATGCATTATTATTATTAAAATGAAGAAACATTCATAAATTTCTCACAGATTTCTCAAAACGCCATTTAAACCAGCCATTCCCCGAACGTTAGAACTTGAACCTTTTCAGGGTGATAGTAAATAGGCGCTATTTAGGTGTGCGTGCTTCATGATCGTCATTTTCCATCAAGTGAAATGGACGTCAAACGCGTTTAATTTTGTAAGAAGAAGAGACCCAATACAAACATTTATAACAACACATAAATAAATTCGTAAGATCTGCGGCCTCGGGCTGTAGCCTAGTTGGTTAAAGGCGGTAGCCACGTTGAGGCAACAGACCCTGGTTCGAATCCAGACAGATCGATGGAATTTTTTTTTATAACTAGGTTGGGGCTAACCGCTCTCCCAACTGACGGAACGAATCATCAGGCCTCATGAACGTCTGTATGTGTTTTAACGTCGATACAATGCTATAATTTCGTTTATAAAAAAAATAATTCTGAAATAAAACCAGTGTCGCTACCGCTCGACCCCAGCAAAATGAAGCATGTTAATACCGGAAAAACATTAATTCGAACTAAGATAGTATCGACGTTTCGGAATTTGTGGTAGTGAAAACGTGATGTTATTTTGGCTATATTTTGACTTTAACATATACCATGTCAAGAGCAGCTCGAACAAGGTCCATGTTTCTACGAGGATCCACAGCCAGCATATGAACCGGCGTTTTGGGATCAACAGGGGTCGTGATTTTTAGCACCTTTCGCCAGTAACTATTCATCACAATAGATATAGCTTTCGAAAATGGTGTAGCGTCTTCTATTCTTCCTGTGGGCCTGCAAAATAACATTTTTTTAGTAGCAGGATAGTTCCTTGTGAAGGAGTTCTTCAAGTCGATATTACCTCAGATCGCATACAATGTTTTCCCGAACTAACACGGTTAATTTTGCTTGAGTCGAGCAGCAATGTATATCGTATAGTGTACGTGCTCCATTTAGTTCAATTAATATTTAAAAAAAATTGGTATATGTAAAATACCTATTGAATACATTGGTTTTCTTGTAAAATTTTAACCGGCGGATTTGCCGGATCGGTAAAACTGCCAGAAAGGCTAGTGGCTGTATAATTTATATGAAGCTATTCACATTACGCCGGACCCGGCAAGAATGCCGAGCTCGGCATTGTCATAGATGCTGCCGGCAGAATCATCAATAGATTATGCTGTCATTCGAAAATAATTGAAGAACTTTGACTTGTCACTTCTGAGTTGGCCCATTAAAAATCTTTCCCGTAAATTCCCTAGCGCGGTGCTATGAGTGTGTGCGTTATTATTAATAAAGAGGAAATTACAGCTCGATAATTCGGAAAATGTCTTGAAAATATTTGAATCTTCATCTTCAGATAACTATCCTTTTTAAAAAACGTACTGTCAGGGCTATTTACAATCTAGGTCCAAACTATTTAAAGAAATTAACATTCTTATGCTTAACATTATATGTTAAGACGAGCAGTTTTTTGTTCACAATTAAAAAATAACTTTATACGCCCCTGATATGTACTTACAAGTTAGAATAAAAATTCAAGACATCGACGACGTGCGTGTTCATTTTCGCCTGAAAGTTTTCTTTTACAGCCAAATTGATGCTAAAGAGAGCCAACAACAATGCTAAATGGCGTATCATTCTGAAAAAATAATAGCACGTTTAGTCAATTCATAAAAAAACTTATATTAAAATTAAAAAACTTCCAACACGGACAGTGTACTCCACAAAGCCAATAAAGTCACTATATGTAAGCTAACCACTCGTTGTCACCAAACACGATTATTATTATTATTAGGGTGGCTTCATTCGGAGCCTATTACAGCCATTCATCACTGCGACCATTAACTGATCTATTGCGATCACAACTAATTACAGTCAGAGCCAAACGACAGCATTGAAGAACTGAAGGATTTTCCTGGCTCCTATAGTTTTTATTTCCTCTGGTTGTGACATGTGCCTTCCTAGGATGAAACTTCGTACAGATCAGAGGACAGCATTGGGTGGGAAGATGCACAGGAGCTTCATCCGCCTTGTGGCAGAAATTACACTCTCTGTTCTCTGTCTGCCCACTATTTGACCACTATTTTTAAGTGTGTCCGTTTGGGAACTACGATGCCACATACAAACAAACAGACTCCCTTTCGTTCTGAGCGTAAAAATCAGTACACGGTCACACGCTTATGTCCGACATCGAGTATATAACCAGAAATAGAAACGAAATGTCATTTAATTGCTTTGGAAACTATTTTGCCAAATCATTACGGTGACAACTGCGCTCCGATTGGCCAGCCCGAATTCGAAACAATTGACGAGTGTCGATTGTGTGTGAATTTTTTTTTGCGTGACGAGTGAGTGTGAATTCACGATCAATAAAAAAAATACAATTTTTTATTATAAATTACTCGCGTTAATTTTGGGACACACTTTATAATAATACTATTACATAAAACTTTTTGACATAATAAAAAACAACAAAAAACTTACTTCAAATGATACAATACAAATAACAACCACAATGTCAGATATCACTGATTAGTTTGATTTATAGGCAAATTGAAATTACAGGCTACCTGATTGGGAGTCATTAATCAAGTTTTCATTGCCGGCAGCTATTGGCTATTACGAAAGTATGCACTATGGAATTTTAAATGTGTAAGACGAAGATATCATCTAAATTAGTAGCAGTAGAGCTCCTTATGCAAAAGTTCGTCCTGGGAAGTACTGCCATCTTATAAGCAATAATGTGAGCATTACTGCGTTTCGGTTTTGAAGGGTAAGGGTGCTGGTGAAATTACAGGCACATGAGACATGACGGGAGCAGTGGCAGTGATCCTCAGATCTTTGCGAGTTTAAAGCTCTGAGCGGCAGTGTATCTGTTATGAACAGGCGTGTCGCGCACGGTCATGTGCACGGCTTGCTCGACCCGTCATTTTGTATCATAAAAAAAAGATTTCATGATTTCAGATTTTTCTCTTCTTCATCTTACAACATTGTCTCCTGAATTAATAATTGTTTCTTATCCCGATCATGGTTTGTTAATACTGTTCACCGTAAAATTAAATATTAGAATATGATAGTTACGGGGTACCCCATTTCGCTAAATGAATTTCATAAAACTAAGTACGGGTTTTACAGTTTCATTTCCAAGTGTGAGAAGTAGCCACGTGCCCAGTTTTATTAAAAAAAGAAGCAGTCATCCGCTTAGAGGCACTTTGCACGCGCGCCACTTCGGTTGGATTCGGCTCATCTCGAAAGACCCATACGCTCGATTACTGCTTTGTTTTGGGATCGTAACTATAAATCCATGTTTCGTCACCTGTTACTATACACACGATATTTGACGCCCCTTCGTTGAATCTGGTAAGCAAGGCATTGCACCAAGTGACGCGATCTGTTTTTTGAGCCTCAGTCAAATTGTGTGGGTTTCACCGAGAGCATAGCTTTTTCACACCCAAATGTTTGTGTAGTATAGATTGTATTTGACTCATGCCTATGTCTAAAGATGCCCGAATCTCACGGTATACGGTATATCACATGCCTGTCTGTTTTGACCATACGGCGCACAGCATCGATGTTTTTGTTGTTCACAGCAGTGGACGGGCGACCATCACGAAATTCGTCACTGAGATTCACACGACCGCGTTTGAATTCTGCAAACCAGATATAAATAGTCGTCTTGCATGGTGCTTCATGGCCAAAACCAGTTTCAAGCTCCGCTGAGCTGTTAAATTACACTTAAAGTCGTAGAAAATCATACTACGAAAATTTCTACGAGTTAAATCCATGGTGATGTAGACAACCAATTTGTAAAATGACGTCATAGTATAAAAACAAGTGACAGTCAGATGAAACAAACTGTATTCTACAGCCAAAGAGTTCCATTTTCACATGTTGTAATTACTTTTTAAAAATTATGTATGTAAGTGGCCAGTTCCGGAAACTTATAGTGCGCCCTATGTATATAGAGGAAAATCCTCGCATGTCAGTGTACTTACCGTATTTTTTCGTCAATTGTGGACCGATTTTAAAAATAATTTTTTGGTTGAAAAGGTATACTCTTGAGGTGGTCGCTGATGTCGACGATGCTATTCCGGATCCGTTTCGGCTATCATAAATTAAAAAAGTATTTTTCGCAAATAAAAGTCGACATTTCAGTTGCCACAATACATGTGATCAACAAATCACCGTCACCATGACAGCCAGAAAAAAATATAAAATGTACAAAGGAGTTCGGAACAGTCCCAAGGCAATAGTCACCAAGAAGTCAGAATCTGATGAGGGTATCTCATGGAAATCGAAAAAAGTCGGTAATAGAATAGAATAGAATACGTTTATTTGCCAGAATACAGTAATTGCAAAGGTCTTAAGTAAAATTAGGTACATTATATTCAACCTGCAAGCAGATGTGCAAATAATAGGGGTTAAAGTATGAAATTGCCGATTTGTACTGAAAATCTAAATTGTTTATTTTTTAAATTTTTAACAAATTTATTTAATCAAAATAGTTGCCATTATTATCTATACATTGCTGCCATCTAATGGGAAGGTTATTAATGCCTTTGCGATAGAACTCCGACGATCTAGACTGCACAAACTGTGTGAAAGCATTTTGTACTGCCTCCTGGGAAGAAAACTTCTTGTCACGTAGATAATTGTCCAAATCACGAAAAAAATGGTAGTCCGTTGGAGCAAGGTCTGGTGAATACGGAGGATGACGAATGGTTTCTAACTGCAGTTCCTGAAGGGTCAAAATGGTTTCTCGTGCTGTGTGAGGTCTCGCGTTGTCGTGGAGCAATAATGGTGAAGATCGATTCATGAGTCGGGGCTGTTTTACTGCTAGTTTTGTCAACATGGTTCGGAGTTCGGCACAATAGACATCTGCCGTTAATGCTTGACCAGATCGGAGAAAACTATAGTGAATAACACCATGCTGAGACCACCAAACAGTTACCATTACCTTTTTATTGGTAAGTTTTGCTTTAGGACACTGTTGTGGCATTTGACCTGGGATCAGCCATTGCATTTTTCTTTTCCGGTTATCATAAAGAATCCACTTTTCATCACATGTTACAATTCGATCCAATATTCCTTCATTTCTGTACTGGTTCAACAAGGCAACACAAGTTTCAACACGCGTTTCTTTCTGCAGATCAGTCAAATCATGAGGCACCCATTTTTCGTATTTTTTTATTTTATTGATTTGACGCAAGCGAGTCAATATTGTGGGTAAGGTAACGTTAAACCATGCCGCTAATTCCTGGGTAGTTTGACTAGGATCGGCTTCCACTATCTCTCTTAATTCATCGTTATTCACCTGTGTGGGCGGTCTTCCTCGTGGCTCGTTCTTTAAGTCGAAATTTCCATCACGAAAGCGTTTAAACCAAAATCGCACGGTGCGTTCATTAGTAGACCCCTCTCCAAACGCAGCATTGATATTGCGGGCTGTTTCTGCCGCGTTAGTTCCGCGTCGGAACTCGTATTCAAAAATCACTCGAATTTTCGCAGTATCCATCTTTCTTGTCTAAATTGAATAACAAAAACAATTGAAAGTCGATATTCAAATGTTTCAAATTAAAAAAAAAAATCGCAGAAACCATTTGAAAAAAGTTTCATTCGAAAACCTCAAACCATGAAGATTCTATGAAAATTCAAAGAACCTATTGCAATAAAACGGCAATTTCATACTTTAACCCCTAATATTAATGGGATTCAATGTTTAGTCTCTATAGTTTCTAATTAATGTAATGAATTTGTAAATTCTAAGTATTCTTTATTACTATAGAAGCAATGTGTCAAAAGCCATTTTGTCAATTGTAATTGAAAGGTATGTCCTTGTTATAGTACTAGATAGACCGTAGCTGAGCACGGACGATTCGTAGCCGTGATAGGCCGTCAACGCAGCTTCTCGCGAGACTCTGTTTAGGTTCATGCAAATCTGTTCGATGTGTTCCTTCCAGTTAAGGTTCTTGTCGATTGTTAACCCAAGAAAGTTAAATGTGTCTTGTAATTAATTTTAACCGGTATGGGATTTGAGTTGTAAGATCTAAATGTCATAACTTTGGTTTGATAAGCAAATTTTTACAAAGTTACAATTATGTTAGAATATTTTCGCACCGCGTGCTCATTGGGCACGGTATGTGTTCCCACACCCATACGATTGGCGATCCGACACGGCGCGTCTCGATTTAGCTACGGTCGTCCTGGTCGTGGTTAAAGGGATGGAAAGTATGCTCTACTTCATAACCTGCCAGTCTAAATACATAACGATCAATAATTACCTATTTCTGTCGCCAAGCAGTAATGTTAGCATTACTGCGTTCCGGTTTTGAAAGATAAGGGGTGCTGGTGAATTACTTGTCAAGTGGCAGTATCCCGTTTGCGATTTAAAGCTCTGAGCAGCACTGCAAGGCGTGTCGCTTACCATCAAGCCTACGATTGTCGTCCTGTCACTTGATATTATACAAAAAAATAGGCGCCTAGTCATTAAGTTGCGAATATGATACCATAGTGCACCACTGCCAGACAAAGACCTTTCGTCACTGTCGGCCATCTTGTGGTACTTATAAAGATTATGTAAGAAAAAAATATCATTAATTTAAACAGACATCACAATCGCCTTTCATTTTCAAGTAGAGCATATTTTCTGTCGAAATACCAATTTTTAAAGTGAGGGTAGTCTAACAATATGCTGCGTAATTGAGTTCTCACGATCTGCATTAACACATCATCAATTCAACATTGTTCTCTATTAGGAAATTAAAAAACAAACATA